ACACACACACACACACACACACACACACACACTGTTCAAGCTCAGCACAAAGGTTTCATGAGGGACACTGTGGAGTCACAAGAAGACAGGATAAAGAGAGAAATACACTTAAATGTCCTTGTGCAAAGGAAAAAAATCAAGACTTACCTCTGTGTAATGCAGCCTTCAAGTGCCAATGGGAATATTGTAATTACAAGTTATGTGTACATGAATGACCAACAAATTCATATTTAGAAATGGAAACACAATATTCACAATGGTATTTAAATGGTAAAATTGTGATATTAGAAGGGCCGTGTAGATGGTAGCAAATACTTTTGTCAAGTTATGTCTTGAGATTTAGAAATAAAGGGGAAAAAAATGCTTGAATTGTAAAAAAAAAACAAAACAAAAAAAAATTATTCATTAAAAAAACAATATAATAACTAAAAGTCCTTGGGATTTAAAAAAACAAATTTAGAAATTTAAAAATTAAAACTTGATTTTAAAAAAGATTTTCTTGAGATTGAAAAAAAAAAAGAAGTGTTTGTCATAACCACGATAAAAGCGAGTTGGGTTATAATGTTTAATTGTTGAAAAATAATGCATACCCTTTAAGTTTTGGCTATATTACAACATCATTAATAATTACTATCATATACAACAGAGCTTATAAACACGTGATGTAAAGTAAGATAATGACTCGCATGTCGGGTTTGCTTTATGAAAGTTATTTATTTATAAGAGATCATCATGCATAAATTTTATCAGTGTTGTAAAAGTGACAGACATTTATTATTGCTTTCTGCACAGAAAAACAATACCATTTGCTGTAGATCATCTTTTTGTATTTTTGTTAGTTTAGACTACCTTGTTTCCTATCTTGAACGCGAGTTATCACAATAATAAGCAACACAAATGTAGGAGCTTCCCAGGTGGACTTGAAGGCAGCATAAGCTATGACTGCAACAGCAAATTCACACAACTCTGTTTATATGATGCATATGTAACAAACATTCTGCAATAAAGCATCTCCCACAGTTTAAAGACTCGCCATTCACAGATCACTGGGTTTAGTGGTACTTCATAGAATCACTGCTGGGTGCTATTGAAAGGGGTTTTCACTCAAGCACAATTACACCAGAGGATTACACTGTGTGCCAACAGATCAAACAAACTAAACTCGGTTACACAACAGTTAGCTTCACATATAGCTGCTGCTAAATCCTTTGAGTAGGATCTAAATAATGCCTGTTCCATGTTAATGGTTTGAGGTGGTGTGATTTAGTCCGTGAAGATCAGCTGTTTAAGCTCTCAAAGGCTCTAGGCTCTAGACCTACACTCCTTCCTTCTTATTCAGTTCATTCATATTCAGTTCATCATATATATATATATATATATATATATGTAAACAAAAACTTATTTTGGATGCGATTAATTGCGATGAATCGTTTGACAGCACTAATTGTTTTATTATTATTATTGTAATGACTATTTATTACTATTTTTCAGACTGTTTTGTTTTTGCTGACTATATAGACAGCATTATAATGTATCATAGGCAGGTCCTAAAAAGGCACAGGCATCAGCTAATATAGTTATATAATTTATATTAATTATAATTTTATAAAAAAAATTATTACTATGTTTTATCATCTTTATTTTTTTTTGGTATTTTTTATAAATTATTATAATTAATTTTTATTGATTACTATTTTTAGAGAATTTTATTTTGTTGGCATAAAATAAAAATCTATAATTTTGACCCATAACACAAAACATTAATATGGTATTAATATGGTTAATAATGTCTTGTATTAGCAACACTTCAAAGTTCAAATATACAACTTTAATTAAAAAAAAAAAAACTACTTTAATTTCTTACTACTTTAATTCTGATCACACTGCAAAAAAGTTTTTAACCAGTATCCAGTATTGTTTTTGAGTTCAAATGTCTAAAGATTCTTAAATCAACATACATTTATTTGTTTTATTAGAAATTGATCAAAATGAAGTAAGTTTGATTAAACAAGAACTTAATTCAAAGAGGAAAATCATTTCATTTTGTTCAATTTCTCAACAAAAAAAAACATATCTTTAATTTGCATCTGTAAATGTATCTTGATTTAAGGACATTTAGATATTTATATTGGAACATTTAATACTTGACTTTACGAATTTAAAACTTTTAAGGCCTTAATTTTTGGAAGGGCAAATTAAGACTTAAGAACCCTACACTAGTATGGACAGTTATTTTGTCACTGAAAATGGTTCCATAAGAAGCCAAATCAAAACAGTAAAAATCACTCTTGGAAACCATTCTTGCCTAACCAAAATACAGGAATGGAAGTACAGTAAGTGTTGCATATTTTGCGTCAGTGTCTGGCAAACAGTACATTATCCCATACTTAACCTCCATAAATGAACCATTATCAGAGAACTATTCTGGCTAAGTGCTCTTCAAAATAAAGTGATATAGGAACAAGTTCAACATAAAAGACCTTTAAAGAAAGAGGAAACTGCAAGAATCAAAAAGCCAGTTATTCACATTTGAAACCATACAAAATGGATTTAACCAGACGAACTAAATAACAGCCAAAGAAAAACTGGCAGCAAAATGAAACAAAAAATTAGGAATACGTTAAGACAATAAATCAACAATTTTTGTTTTTCAGATTTAACGAGCAAGCGACTAATAAATCTGATGGAGGAAGTGAATATGGAAATTAAATCTAGACGTAGACTGTAGAACAGAGAGGGAGAGCTGGGCTAAAATAAAAAGATGAGCAGCAAAACAAAACAAAAAAAATGCAATTCAAAGAAAAAAGAGAACTTAGATGCATATGGCAGGTATTAGGAGGACCTAGAGAGCACAATCAAGAAAGGAATAGAAATATATACAGACAGACAAACTTGGGTATTTAGATGAACTGACCCAGTTTAAAAGAATGTATGTAACAAACATCATGACTCATGTTCTGAGGTAAGAACTATTTTCATTATAGGTCATAGGCGCAGGAAATGAGGGTGCTGCAGCACCCCCTGTTTTTTTCTGTAGGCAACTGTTTAACTGTTGGGAATTTTTTTTTTAAATCGGAGTGTCTATTTACACCAAGTGCAAATAGCCCGCCTTGTTGGCAGAGGCTATTTACACTAACTCCACCCACCAACGTGTGATTGGGCTAGTCAACATTACAAAAGACAATAATAATCAAAGTCAATAATCATCAGATGTAGTGGCGTAGGTGGTAAAGCGTGTCATACTTCTTTTGACGCGATTGACCCGGGTTCGAATCTGCCTTTTGGCGAACTTTTTTTCTCCCTTTTCAAATTTCAAATCACATCAGAAAAGCATTTCTTTTTAATAAAAATGAAGGAAATAATCAAAAAGTTGAAAAAAAAAAGTATCGGGTAGGGTTAGGTGTAGGGAGGGCTTTTGTCCCAATAAGGTGGCATCCATTTAATAATTTGAATTCAAATTCAAATTTACACTCAATAAGTTATTATTGCACACTGTTTTAATGTATTACAATGCTGAGGTGCAGATAATTGACACTATTTGAAATAAGTAATTAGCAGAATATCCCACTATTTTAACTATCTATAGCTATTTTCACTTAGTGTAAATAGCCTCTATCGCACCTCCCTCCCCACGCGCGTACAGCACCCCCAACCTAAAAAATCTTCCCACGCCCCTGTTATAGGTCTACAAAAACTCTCTGCTGGTATTCACACCATACCATTCGCTGCAGCTATGAGGGGCATAATTGTGTTACGTGGGAGAGAGGTGGGCAGTCAAGCAGTTCTGCAGGACATTTAGCTCATTGTGACCCAAAAGCACAATGTAAGACTGTAAGATGTTTGTGAGCACAGCCAAGCAGGCTGAGCTACAGTGCTAACGTTGTGATGAATAGGGGAATTTGCAGGAGTGAATGGGCCTGTGACCGTTGTGAATAACGGTGTTCTCCATGCTTGAGATCCTGGAACGCCTCTCGGGCTCACCATCATCAGAGTGGCATCATGAAAGGCTCTTTTGTGACCGGGCGCACACTGAATGCGTCTTCCTTCGGGTCTGTGTCCAGTCTAAAAGCCCCAGTGCTTTTGTGTGTCTGTCTTTCTTTCTCTCTTTTCTTTTCAAACAGGGCTTCACAGAGCAGCAGCAACATTAGAAAGCAAGCTATGGAAACCAAAGTGTGCTGTTGAGGAACTCCGAACAAGCTACTTCCTTAGAAACATGGCAAAGTGCAGTGTGAAGTAATGACCAATCTACTAATAGCAAATAAGGGGCCAATTTGATAATATAGGCATTGGGTTGATTCTAAAATTTATCAGTTTGGATCTACCTTGTTAGTAGATACTTTGAATTAATAGAGTAAATTAAGGGTGGTATTTATTAAAAATCAATTAATTAAAAAAAAAGAATTTGAAAAAAACAGATAATTTTTACATTTTTATATTTAATTGATTTTCATTTTTATTATATTTGTATATACTGTATATAAAATAAAAATCTATTAAAATTTGAAAGATAAATAGATATAAATCCATTTCATAAATAAATTATTGTTCAAATATAATTGATTTTATATAGAAAATATATTACAATCAATGAAATAAAAAGATAACAAAAATCAATTAGATTTTAAAAAGAGATATTTTTTCATTTTCATATTTAATTGATTTTATATAGAAAATATATAAAAAATCAATTAAATAAAAAGATAATAAAAATCGATTCGATTTGAAAACGTAAACAGATATATTTTTTCTTTTTCATATTTAATTGATTTTAATTTTTATTACATTTATTTATAAAATAATGCAAATCTATTAAAATTTGAAAAGATAATGAATAAACGGATACAAATCCATTTCATAAATAAATAATTGTTCAAATATAATTTATTTTATATAGAAAACATTAAAAATAAATTAAACAAAAATAATAAAAATCATTAGATTTGAAAAGTAAACAGATTTTTTTTTTCATTTTCATATTTAATTGATTTTAATTTTTATTACATTTATTTATAAAATAATGCAAATCTATTAAAATTTGAAATATATATATATCAAGCAGACTGACTGATTTAATAACTGTGTGTGTGTTTGTGGTCTTACCTCATAGGCCTGGGGGCTGGTCAGACATCGAGCTAGAGGACCGCAGCAGGCCGGCAGAGTGGAGGTCAAAGGGGGACCGCTATGGGTCAGGATAGGCTTCAGGTAACTGTACTTGTGTAAAGGGAAAAGCTCTGCTGAAGTGTCAATGTCAAGCAGACGTGAACCAGGAAGATGTCACACACTGGACTGAAATATGGTTGATATAGACACTTCTTACAACATTATGTACTTTCAATTCCAAAAACAACTGAAAACATGCAGGTATGGTAAAGTCAACGTCATGCAGTAGTAGCTTGTAGAGTACTCACATTAGCTAATCATAACTTATAATTCTCTACCAATTCAAAAAAAAACTTTCATAGACTCAGTTCTATTAGCTTTAACTGTATGCACGCAAAAGAGCAGCTTGGACCGTCTCAAAGCTCTCTGGTAAAGTAAATGATGAAATCTTTTCTGGCTAAACTAGTTAATTCATAACAGCCACAAATCAACAATGACTGCAAGACTTCCGACATTCATCCAAGTCAAACATTTCAAAACAGCCAATCAATTCAAACCATTCAAAATAGCATTGCTTATAATGGAAGCTCCAAAAATTCAGCATGGCAGCAGCAAGCGCTCATCTCGGAACTGATATGTGACCCTGGACACTGGTCTTAAGTCGCTGGGGTATATTTGTAGCAATTGCCAAAAATACATTGTATGGGTCAAAATGATTAATTATTAATTTTTCTTTTATGCCAAAAATCATTAGGATATTAAGTAAAGAACATGTTCCATGAAGATATTTTGTAAATTTCCTACCGTAAATATATGAAAACGTAATTTTTGATTAGAAATATGCATTGCTAAGAACTTCATTTGGACAACATTAAAGGCGATTTTCTCAATATTTGGATTTTTTTTTGCACCCTCAGATTCCAGATTTTCAAATAGTTGTATCTCGGCCAAATATTGTCCTATCCTAACAAACCATACATCAATGGAAAGCTTATTTATTCAGCTTTCAAATAAAAATCGATTCGATTTGAAAACGTAAACAGATATATTTTTTCTTTTTCATATTTAATTGATTTTAATTTTTATTACATTTATTTATAAAATAATGCAAATCTATTAAAATTTGAAAAGATAATGAATAAACGGATACAAATCCATTTCATAAATAAATAATTGTTCAAATATAATTTATTTTATATAGAAAACATTAAAAATAAATTAAACAAAAATAATAAAAATCATTAGATTTGAAAAGTAAACAGATTTTTTTTTTCATTTTCATATTTAATTGATTTTAATTTTTATTACATTTATTTATAAAATAATGCAAATCTATTAAAATTTGAAAAGATAATGAATAAACAGATACAAAGCTATTTCATAAATAAATAATTGTTCAAATATAATTGATTTTATATAGAAAACATTAAAAAAATAAATTAAATAAAATTACTACAAAATCTATTAGATTTGAAAAGTAAACATTTTTTTTTTATTTTTATATTTAACTGATTTTAATTTTTATTATATTTATATAGAAAATAATACAAATATATTACAATTTGAAAAAGATGAATAAACATACATATCTATTTCATAAATAAATAAATGTTCAAAAATAATTGATTTTATATAAAAAAATTAATAAAAATCAATTAAACAAAAAAATAAAAAATAAATGTATGAGAATAAATATATATTTCCCCAAATTTCACTGATTCCTTTTTTTAATATATTTGATAATAATTTTATTTATATAAAATAAAAATTTAATTAAATATATAAAATTATAAATCTCAATTTAGAAAAATTGACCTTTATGACTGGTTTTGTGGTCCAGGGTTACATATGATTGAGTCTCAGCCTCATAATCATGGAGTAAACGGATCATCATCCCCTTAAATAGTTCACTCAGAGTCCAGCACACAGATCTAAACAGGACAGCTAGTACGCATTTGGCAGCAATACTGAGGTTTTTTATTTTTGACAGACGGGGATAAAAATAGAGAAGGCGGCAGTAAAATGCAGATGGCTTGAAACCAAGAACACCCCGTGATGGATTTGAAAACATATAATATCTATGAGGGGGACCTAAACTGGATGTCCCCTACAGAGTTAGAGAGAGGTATAGACTGCAAAATATCTCTGTAGGATGTCCAATAGCATGGTCTGGCACCCAAAGAGAAAAAAAACAGGCAGCTGGCCTTTTGGAAAGCACACAAGCACACTTTAATTCACTCCCGAGGGCCTGTACAAAAGGAACCGAATGTTGTTGGGCAGGTTGTTGTGACAATAAGGCAGCACACTTGTAAACTGACAAGCACGGCTGTGGGCGCAGAGAAAATCGCAAGCTAAGATTCCTAATAAACATCTGACATAAGCTCTGAGGACCTGTGAGTCACCACATGTGGAGCTGGCTAGACACAGCTGTGCAGGAAGCGGATTGAGAAGTGTGTGAGAAAATGTGTGTGCGCCACTTTCACCTTTAAGCATTATTTCTAGCATCCGTGAGCTAAATAAAACCCCTTTCTTTGCTATTCTGCTCCTCTCATCACCCATGACCGTCTCACTGAAAAGGTACGGCTACAGTAAACCTCTCAGCACAAAATAATTGCAGTGGACGAACCCTGCTGAGAGCTCAAGAATCATTGATTGCTTCATTCAGGACTCTTTGTGAAAATGGACTGCAGCCATTTCATTTGACTTTTCGTGCAAAGAACGTCAGTAATGACATTTCCAGCTGCTCGTATTTAGATGTGGAGCTCAGACTGGAGCTTTTTTTGGAGTGGGAGTTGCGTCAGGAGGGTGAGGCTTGTCAGTTCGGGGGTTTAGAGGCTCAGTTAAGGCCTCAGAGGAACTCCAGCACTGATCAAAACCAGCTATCCTATGAAATCTCTGAATTATTCATCCTTTCCTCACTCTCACTGCATTTACATTCATCTAGATCCGCTTTAGCGGGTTTCATCAATATGTGTCTCTCTTTTGTCATTGTCTGTGGTGTGGGAGCAGATGTTTTTTCCTAGTCATTTGCATGGAGCCAAAGTAATCTCAGTTGGCTAGGCTCACGGAAGAGCAACTGTGAAAGAGAGGTAATGCTCAACCGTGCTTGAGTTCCTAATGACAAGACCACAAAAGCCTGCAAGGGTGTGTTGTTGTGAACGGCATGCTGAAAAGGATACTTGTGGTCAAAAGTATACCAAAGTCTAAAAAGCCAGGCGCTCTCTTGCTTGGTCTTGCTCTGTCCTTCTGACTCTGTTCCATCCTGAGGAGAGAAAAAGGACGTAAGTGTGATTTATTTAATCTACAGCAGGGTTATGCAAACTTTTTCACACACACACACACACACACACACACACACATACATACATACATATATATACAGTGGGCACGGAA